CCCCCCCCCCCCCACTGTCTCCAGGGATCCCTCATACCTGGCCATCTCCCAAGGAGGCAGGAGGGGGTGTGGGCAGCTGGTATAGGCACATCTCACAGACCCAAGGAGGTGGTCAGCACTGAGGTTCAGGGATGTCAGCCCCCAGGGGACGGGACAGGATGGGGTTTCCTTCTCTCCCCATTTCATCTAAAGGAGGACCTGGCTCCCTGGTGGAGTCCTCACTCAGGTCTGGGTGCAGGGGCCCGAGGACGCACACTTGGGGGTGCTGACCCTAGAACTTAAAGTCTGGGTACCATCAGACAAGCAGCATTCACCCAGGGATGGGGTCACCCTGGAGTGGGGTCAAAAACCAAACCCAGTCTTCTGCCACAGATCCTAGCAACCCTGTGTAGGGTTTCAGAGGTTATAAATCTTTTGTAGTTTACAGGAGCAGAAAGCATCTTGGGTTTGAACTGCCGACCTTGTAGTTAGCAGTTCAGTGCTTATCCAACAGCATCACCAGGGCGCCAAGGGTTAGGGGCGGGGCAAGCAGGTGTGGTTGCTCACCTGGAGGGCGGCTGGGGGAAGGAAGACTCAGAGGGTGCCTGGAGCCCTTGGTAACCCCATTGCTCTGGGGGTGGGTAGAAACGGTTCAAGCCAGCACGCCGCCCCCCAGCTCTCACCTACAGCCCCTCTGGGGGCGCTCTGAGGGGCGCTGGACAAGCACGTGGATACTCTCCCCAGCGAGACATCAGGTGAGGGATCTGGAAGACCTCCCTCACCCTCACGCTGGTCCCGTGCAGCCCCCAGCCCCACACTGGTCCTGCCCTGAACGCGGCACACAGAGTGGTCAGCAGAGGGCTCACAGGCCGCAGGTTCCAGAACTTCATGTTGGAGGGGACAGCACTTTCGTCCCCTGAGAGCCTCACCGCAGGCCGGTCCTCTGGGAGCAACAAGACTGTTGGGGGCTGTGGGTGGGGGGCGTCCTCCGGCTGAAAGAGCAGCAGTAGCTGGGGGAGGCGTCCAAGACTCGGCCACTCTAGAACTTTCCCCGGCAGCCGGCCCTCTTTTGAAGCCCACGGGCAAGTGCCGACTGCAGGGGCTCAGTGCTGCTTCCACGGGTTTGAATCCCAGTCATTGCCTGTCGTGCGCACGCAGCCCCCGAGGTACGGCAGGGGAGGAGTCTGTGTTGCTGTGATTTCAGCAGAGCTTCCAGACTCAGACAAGCTAGGAAGAAAGTTCTGGTGATCTACTTCTGAAAATCGATCACAGTGGTCCGATCCAGGGCAACCATGGCATTGTGCAGCTCACAACAACAATAAACTTTAGCTACAACAGCGTGGTTGCTTCCGGAAGCAGATGGCTAAAGCTCCTCCCCACCCCACGTGGCTTCCAAGCGTCAAAGGGCCTGCCCACTAACGTGAGGCAACCAGAGGATTGCTTGGGGTCTCCAGGACATCTCAGGGAAGCTGCCAGGGTCTCGAGGACATCTCAGGGAAGCTGCCAGGGTCTC